TTTCCGACTATCTCTCAGACACTTCCTCATCCTTCGAAGTCGGGCGTTGAAATAGTCCATAATAAAAAGCCCCAATGCCTACTGAATTCCGATAAAATTGATAATAAATAGACAAGAAAAAAAGGAACATCGTTCCTCCTGCCATTTCTTCGAAAACGAAAACTAGTTCCCATTCCAGCTTTACCCAATGAAAGGCGGAATGGTGGTCTTCCTTAGTTCCTTCTAAAAGGAGCACTTTCCAGGAACGCTGTTCCGTGCAACGCAGCTTTGCGCATGCTTGGTGGCAAAAGACAAGCCACAATGGATGCAAAAGCGACATTTCGGGAGCTTGATTTAAGTCACAGAGGTCAATGGAGCCAACAGAATCTTGCTTTGTTGCTTGAAAAAATGCTCGCACTTGCTCATGCCACGCCCACTCGACTTCACAGTGAAAAACTTTATACTGGAAATTCGAACGATGGTGGAATATAAATAATGCATTGCAAAAGTAACCTCAGCTGTTTGGAAGGGTGCAGGAATTTGCACATTTTTTTCTAATGTATACAAACAATGTTCTAAATGGCATCAGGTCAAGCATAAGGTAGTTTGCTGACCACTGCCTAATTTACTGTCTATCCAAAACTGTTCCAGATCACCTAGCACAAAAGAGTAATCCATTTGTTTTATTTACTTCGATACCCACATCACTAGGTAAGCATCACAGCAGGGGAGACACGAGATATTACATAGCACAACAAATACAGCCCAGGAAAAAAGCAAATAACAAAGTCAAAGGTCAATGGCACACTCACAACATGGATTTATCAAAAGATTGTGAATTTTTAGAAAAAAAAAAAGGCATTTCATCCAGTTAGTTTGTGCAGAAAACTCATTAATTTTTTGATGATTATTTAGTATGCGAGAAAGATAATGTGAGGTGCCACGATGCATTGAGACTTATCCAGATAGGTGTTAACATAAGGGCCATACAAAAAATTTCTGGCATAGATGTTTGTGCATATCCTGCAAGAGTTAACACCCTAATAGAAGTTTTACTTCTGAGATGCTATCCCAGGAACTACTGTTATTTGACATAGTGCTACAAACAACCCAGCTGGTAGTGCATTTTTCTTTTATGCAGAGGGCCAAGTAACTGCCATGTGCCTTAGCTACTCTTAACGTAAAACGTCTACAGGCAAGGTTTTCAGGTGACGCGAAGCCCCAGAAAGCATAACCGGGAATTTCCCTGCTAAATTTAGCGGGGAAAACGACGTCACATGGCTTTGTGTCAAGTGACCTCTACACAAATTCAGTTTCCCTGCTAAATTTATTAGAGAAAATGACGTCACATGAAGGCCCGTTCACACTCTTGCGACCGAGAGAGACCAGACCGGTTTTTAAGCCTCTTGTGATGTCTTAGGACCAGCTCCGCTGCAGCGCATCCGGTCCTAAGACGTGGCAAGAGGCTTAAAAACCGGTCTGGTCTCTCTCGGTCTTACTCGGTAGCATATATGTGAACGGCACTTGACTTTATGTCATGTGACCATATGCAAGTTCAGTTTACCCGCTATTCATCATTCCCCAAACTCTGTGGTCAAGGACCGACCAGACAGGGAAAGTCTAGTCACTGGGGTGCAGTCGATAGGGTGGAGTGGAGAAACCTTGAGGCACAGCTCGAGAAGAAATGCCAATAGACTCTAACGCTAAGCCAAGAACGCTTTGCGTAGCAACACAATTGCAGAGCAATTTGCTATGCATTTTTTTGAGCACTGGATAGTATGTCATATTTGCTGACTTTATATTTTGCAATCTTGCCAGAGCACTGTCTTTTTCTACACATTTTCCAATTGGAAAATTTTGTGGTGCTGAATATATTCGGTGTATCTTCAAAGACCTTCAAAAAATCCTAAAACTAAAATGGTTCGAAAAAAAAAAAAAAAAAAAAACTTGTTTCGCCAACAAATTGCCAGCCATGACGCGTGTCGGGGATTGCAAAGACAGACTCCCGTAATTAGCAAAATAATAACTTAAGGTTTACTAATAAGTTCTTTAATTCATGAAAATAAACATACAGTTCCAATGAGAAACTTTCTGAGTTTGACCGAAAACCCCTAGTTTAGAAAGTTTTAGGCCAGTTTGAAAGACTTGAGAAGTGGAGGGGGTAAGCTAAAGTTAACATTCGAGCAGCAGGCGCTAAGGCAGACACGGGAAACCCCAAACGATTTTCTTATCATTGGCATTTTAAAATCATCTGCCTTGTGCCTGCTGCACGAGCAGTAACTTAAGTGCAACCCTGTGTTTCAAGCCGTCCTAAAATTAACCGATTTAGGGGGTCTTCGACGACTTTCAGCAAGTTTCTAATTGGAACCATGTGTTCATTTTCCCTCAAAGTTAATTAGTAAATTTAAGGAAATTTCTTTGCTAATTAGTGTTTTTCGCAATACCCAACATCTGCCCTGGATAAACACCAGGTAGTTGCGTGATTATCCTGCCGGTCTCGTATCCGCAAAAATTTAGTCGTCGCGAAATATTAGTCATTAACAGTTAATTGCAATAACATACATTTGGAGATTCATAATCCCCTCCGTTACTTAATTTCGTTTGAACATGAGTAACTGTAACTAAATTACATTCATAGAGTACCCTTTCCAGCTCTGCTTTCGAGCCTTTGAGGTGCCCAGATGATGTTCTCAACAGTCTGTCTGTGCCCTAGCTTCTACCAGCAAAGTCAAATGTAACACTGCATGAAACAATTTTCCAAACTTGTGCACCAACCGAAATGGGGAAAAAGCAAGCTTCTTAAAAAAAATATTTCTCCAGAGCCTTTCTGGCGACATTTTCCTCAAACTAGCCTCTGCTCGCACACATCAGTTCTGTACTCTCTCAACACTCTCTTCTCAGCTTTCGCATGCCGCACAGGCGTTGTAGAGAATGTGCATTTGATAGCGGACAGAGTCGCTCGCCACCACGCGATGCTTATTCGCCGTAGACAGGCTGTCGTCCAACGTAGCACCCAAAAAGACTGAAAAGACTGTCGCTGCATTGTGTCGTAAGCAAAGTTCGGGCAACAGCTCCTAGCCTACCAAGACTGCGATGCTGGATTTCCTATGTCACCTAGGGGACGCCAGTGCTGGGCACCGAGTACCACTACTGTGTAGCTGTTCGGCCATGACTCGTATTTGGCCAGCGAGTTGCAGCCAAATGCTGAATCTGTTCCCCATGCTGGCTTCTTGTAGACAGAGAAAATCCAGCAGTACGGCTGCGTTATCAAGGAGACTTTAGTTCGGGTCCCCGCATAGAGTTGTGTCAGTTGGCACCATAGAGTTAATAAATATTCTAAAGGGAAGGTCCCACGCATTTGGGCCACTTCGAAACGGCAGGGCATAGATGCAGACATTGGTGGCCCCAGTGGCGGTTTCGATGGGCCCGTATCGCTGGCGGCGCCTTCATGTACACAAAGAAGCATCAAAACATCACCTGTGAGGTCTGTACCTAGTTCTTTTCTGCCTAATTTGCAGGAAAACACCGGAATGGTGCCCTAGACGAAAATAAATTATGTTGACGAGCGCTCGGACAACTTCAACTCGTCGCACCAAAACGAGCGCGCCCAAGCTTTCGTCAGCTTTCCTCCCCTGCTCTTCGGTCGCTTATTTCTCATTCTTTCTCTAGGGAACACGGATGTCGGCACTCAGGACTTTGCCACATCCTTCTCCCGTCTTTGTACCGTGTTGGTTGGCACGAACGTTGACGTGGATTCACCTGGAGCAGTGCAAGCAGTGCTTCTGCGGTAATGACAACATTCCACTCTGCGCGTTGCAGATCGGAGCCAGCACCAAGTTCGACGGCTAAGACGAAGCGCTCCGCACACGCGCAGCAACGGCTACACTTCTACAGAATACCGCAAGTTCACGGGGTTCACCTTGCTTCTCCTGCATAGCCTTCCACTCTTTCCACCTTAGTAGAGAAAAGGCTGGAGAGGAGGCCGGTGGAGTAACACCCTCTTTAGCATTCACTCTGCTTACGTGGAAAAAGCGGAGGGCTCTGTGGGAGGACCTTGTCCTGCTGTTCTTGAACTGCAACAGAGTATAAAAGTCCCTATTCGTGTTCAAAACTAAATGTAAAAAAAAAAAAAAAAAAAAAAAAAAGAATTATTGTACTACTTGGCTACTAGCACTACTGAAATGTGTGTTTCTGGGGGCGCAATTCATTTATTTCCAAGGCCTTTAGAGCTGTTCTCGACGCTTTCCGGGGACTTCCCATAGCAGCGGCGAATTTAATTGCTTATTGCCACGCAAATAAAACGCAACAAGCGTCCTTAAAACTGTCAAGTGCGCAGCCATCCGAAACTTTCGTTATAAACGTTCCTTCTTTTCGTGAAAAAAAAAAAAAAAAAATTTTTTTTCTTCTTTTATTAGAACGGAGGAAGTGTGCACCGGCTCCAAACGGGCGACTTTGAACACGCTGGCTGCCCATGCACAAGAAAATAGATGCCCGGCCCTCTCAGGTTCGGTTTGGGAAAATTTTTTCAGCCTTTAGGAAGTTATCCACGAGGACCCGGAACTTCTGTACGTCGTGCTCAATAAAATGCGATAGAAAAGTCTACTTATCCGAGGCGAACATCGCTACGCGAACGACCCAAAAGCATGGGTAGTGTATATGCCTAGCACATGGGCAGCATCTACCGAGGCTCTTGTCTTATCGGATCGGGTGCGTAGCACACGAACCTCCGGTACAAGGCCCACAGGAAGTCCAGAGTAACAACAACATTCTGTCACGCGTTACGAGTAGGCATTGTTAATTGCTCCTAAGCCTAAAAGCCCTCTACCACTCCGACGCTACGGCGGCGATCGCTCGACGTAGGCCGATTGTTACGACGGTGACACCAAATGGCTACATATTGGCACCTCTTCTCGTTTTTCTTTTTTTAATTCAGTCGGCAGAGACCAGGCTGTGAATGGAAGAAAACTTGCGCAACGCGGCGGCGACTTTTGGACGATTGAAAGGGGAACACCAATTCGTACCTGGTACACGGAATTCCACGAGTTTTTAGAGTCGATCTCTTCAAATTCCTGTTCCATCTCCGCATGGACGCAAGGATGGGTTACCTCCTGCCCGCCACACTTGGTCCGTTTCGGCTCGTAGCGCACATCTTTTCAAAATGTACTGCCCCGCGCAACAAGGAACACGGCAACGAAGAGCGCGCACAAGCACCCACACAAACACGCACAGCGGCACACAACACAAGAGCACAAGAGAGGTACAGAAACAGAGCAAGCCGGAGAGCCACAGCTAAGGCCAGGCCGCCAGGCGCCAGGGAAGCCCGCGTCCCCTTAGTTTTACGTGGACATATACTACGCCAGTCTGACGCTGGTCACCTCTCTTCCGAATTTTTAAGGTAACTTGCGCCATCTACTGAATCATTTCGCTCGAAAAGATGAGTGGGTGGATGAATGGGATACGTAAATGGATAGACCATCGATAATAGCCATCTTCAGGCCATCTTATTTGCAGTGGGTGGTCGGTTGCGCCACAACTTGTCCTTGTCTTTCTGTTGCGCTATTTTTTAATATCGCGACTCCAGCAAAACGGACGCCGCCAAGCGGGAAAATCGGGAACCAGTCGGTCCAGGTCGCTCCGCGCCCCGCCGCGTCTCTGATGGCTTTCGCGGACACGTGCTGTCGGCGCGGGGGCGAGCAATGTAATTTGACGAAGGTCCGAAAATTTCTTAAGTTTGCCTGAGTGTTCATTAGTGTGGTGAAGCCCTCAGTAGTTTGTTTCTTTCCATCACGTGTTTGTGATGGAAACACACGGTCGCAACACACGGTCGCGTGCTTTCAATTTTTTGGATGAGGAGGAATCAAGGAAAAACGTTTTGATTTCTCGTCTGTCTCTACTCACATTCAAAGTGACGACTACTTGGTAACTGATAAGTGGTTTCTTTATAAGGATGTAGAACAGTGGACTGAGGTCGACAGACGAAGTGTTTCACTGGAGGGAACACCAATGTTGCAGTCAAGTGAATGGGAACGTTCGATAGCTGCTTTCCTTGAGTTTGGTTGTGCTCAATTAGCTTCAAGTTAATTTAGACACTAACGCCGGCCGGTGCGTTGGCTATTCATCTTGGCGGCTTTTCGCCGAAAAAGACCACATTGAAGGAGTTGGGCTAATTTCGCAATTACCCGATTCAGAAAACCTGCTCGCTGCATATGATTAATGAGGGAAATTACCTGCTTTCAAAAGGCGGGGGACGCGTCTAGCAAAGTTAGAAGCTGTCACGTCATTAGGATCTATCGCGCCTCCAATATTTATATTATAACCCCTGTCGAAGCCAGCAGCAATATAGATCTACATTGCTCAGGTTGACCGGCCACAAAAAAATACTCATTTTATCCGTTCAGAATTCGAAGTCAAGTTCAATGCAAAGAGGTTCTGCGTGAATCTCCAATGAAAACTCTCTTCAGTTTGTCCGCACATGTCTCCGTTCTACCGGCTAGAACCATTTGGCTAAGCTTAAGTAGTATCTCTCTTTCTGTCAAATATACTTTTATTCAGCAGTTCACCTAATAGTTAGTTAACTAAGTTCATATTTCAACCAGAAGAATATACAAATATCGCTTTAGTGGGACATAGTACGTAATATAATACATAATCCGCATATTCATCAAAATGACTTCTCGATTGCTACTAAAACCTGAATTGAAATACGAGTATCAGCTGCTTAGTGAAGCGCCAGCGGGTTGACATGCTCCTTGGCTCAAGAAGCGCTTGCTTAATTTTTGTAATTTTCCTGCAGCCTGTACCTTCTTGACCGAGCACACGACTGGAGCTGTTTCTTGAAACGCGGACAGGCACAAAAGCTCAATTTCGCGGACAGATAAGTCGCATGGTCGAGGCATGCGAGTTAGCTAAAAATTACTCTCGGTGGAACAATTTTGTAGTCCTCGCCGCTTTCCTTAGATGATCAAAACGAATTAGAGTCCATAACCGTTTCTCCGGGGCCCATAGTTTCGGTTTTGATCGAAGTCTCCGAAACGAAAGTTTGACATGAAAAGAACAAAAAACACCGGCAAAACAAAACTATGCTCGGCAAGTTTATGCGCACCGGCTACACTTAACTGTCTCAGTTCAAATACCCATAAAATTGGGCATTCAACAAAAGAAAATTTGTTAAATTGAATGCGCCACCCATTCAGGCGGCCCGGCCGAGCCGACGCTATCCGACGCGACTTGGACTCAGCCGCCATGTTTGTTTGGTGGTGGCGCCCCCTATAGGTCGCAAGCTACGCTTCAGAGTAACGACACTTGTCCATATTGTGTCTTAAAATCATGGTTGCCAGTTATCTGAAGCTTTATCTGAAATCACAGGAAATGTTTTTCCGCCCTCCACAAATGTTTAAACCGTTCGCGACAGAGCAAAGAAATATTACATGAGCTTCCTAACACCGAATCGAATGCTGAGGATGTCGCGCTTTTGAATCATGACGATCGGCACTTGCGTCTGTTCTGCATACGAGCCAAAATGGCGGCGCCCACAACAATGTCGGGGACAAGGAGGATAGAAGGGTAGGAGAGGGCATGACGTCGGCCGCGTAGCCTCCACAAGCCGTGCTCCCTTGACGCCTCGCCTCTTTCTCGTTTTCCTCCTCACTCTCCTCATTACCGTGCCAACGTGACCACATCACGTGACCGTAGCTAGCCTTCGTCTTGCTATGGGGTACTAGAATACACCACAGTCTAGCCTTCGATCTGATAAAACCTACCGGACGGAGCGCGCGCAAGCCTGCAAGGAGTCCTCCTACAATCAACCATCCATCTCACACGTGACATGTCACGCGCACCAATCGCCAGACAGATCTGCGGTCACGCTGGGCACAAAATCGTTTAAACTTTTTATGACTAGGCTTCACCAATACTGCAGCGTGCCCCCTCCTAGTACTTATAACCTACAATAAACGGCTTAGAGTATCGGCACTCCGTTCCCCGACGGGAACGGAGTGCCGATACTCTAAGCCGTTTATTGTAATAACTCTATGCTCTAAGCGCAGCTCAGAGGCGCAGCTTATTTAGTCTATTTAATGGCTCTAGTCTATATGTTTTACTGGAAGATCCTCCACCATTGATCTCTGGCAGAGCAAACGCTGGAGAGGAGGCGGCCTCCTCTCCATCGTTCGCTCTTCTGAAAAGGTGGCACTTTCAACAACTAGAGTATAAAAAAATGTTTTCGCCCCAACAATTTTAACTTCCAAATTATTAGCAGTTTTTAATTCTTCCTAGAGTTATGCAGAAACGGACACATTATTTTGAAATATCTTGAATTGACCCCGTAAAGCGCGATCCAAACCAACGCTTCTTTTTGCGCCTGTAGCTCGTGCGGCTGCGGATGTGACGTATTTTCGTGACGTCGCGCCGGTTCTTCGCTCCTTCCGGGCGCGCATAAAAAAGTTGGTTGATTTCAACCTCTTCTCAAAGCGCACAAAAACGCGCGGTGACGTAGTAGGGCGCTCCTGTGTCCCGGCCAATCGGTGGAGGGCAAGCTAGTTCCGGCTCCGCGTTTCTCGCCGTCTGGCTGCCCTCTCCTCCCCCCCCCCCCCCCCTTCTATTCTCTTCCAACATGACAACGCGATCTCTCTCTCTCTCTCTTTCTCTCGCCGTCTGGCTGGCCAGTCTGTCGCAGTTGCACTTGCGTGCGCGCTCGCCCGAAGTTTTGCCCGTCCAAACCAAAGCGCACGGTTCTGGCTCAGAAAGCGCGCCCGGAAACAGTAAATTTGCCACGAAATGCGTCACATCCGCAGCCGCACGACCTACAGGCGCAAAAAGAAGCGTTGGTTTGGATCGCGCTTAAAGGGATGCTGAACCGAAATTTTGGGTGAAAATTCTTGGTCGCAATGGCATGCATTGCATGTCCTTTACTTCTAAATGGCGTTGTTTTGAGCGAAAAAGCGTATAAATTAAATAAACACTAAAAATACAATTTTACGCGACCCCTGGTGAGCGTCGTGGAAAGCTCGCTTCGTGACGTGCGCATTCTCATTCCCCTCAAAAGACAGACGGAGCCAAGCCAAGCCAGGCGCTAAGCCGGGTGGCGTTTGTTATTGTTAGTATCACGCGGGCTCTGTCCGCGTGGTACTAGTACCAGCCGCTTTGAGAACAGCCGCCGAGCGAAGAATCAAGGCGAGCACCAACGAACGAGGAGAATGCCCGGAGGCACTAGGTCCGCTGGGGGCGTCGAGAATAAGCACGTCAGTTCCGCTACGCCTGCTCCCAGAAGGACTCGCTCGCGCCGGCGGCTTCCGGCCGAGGATTCGCTCTTAATTCAAAGAAATACAATAATTCGGGCCCCATCCGTCTGATTGAATATCGTTTTTAGGTACAGTACCATCCCGTGAAGCCCGCTCGGGCAATAATTATTAGATTTCAAATATCGGTTCAGCATCCCTTTAAGGCTCGATTTTTGCTTGCAAGTAAGTACAAGGTGATTCAAGGAGAGGCCAGGCCAGTGGGTTAAATCGACCGCAAAATTCGGTTTCTTAACCTATCGCCAACGTTACTAAAACACTCAGTTGGGAAACTCGCCGTCGAAACCTGGGCCGCTGGCATCCACCGAGACCGAGCTAAATGCGACAACAGCGCCATTCTTTATCGTTTGTCTGTACTCTGGTCGCCTTGAGCTTTTAGAAAGCCTGTTTTTGCGTAAAAACAAACGGAAAAGACTCTTTTTGTATGAAATTTATTGGAGTTTAGTACAAAAAGAGGGGCGCGGTATGTTTTTAAAATCTTTAGTTTCCAGAGTTTTGCGGCACAATTAATGTTGTTTTTATACAACCATGCCTCAGCGGGGCTTTCAGGTAGCGCGTCCAGACCTAGGTGCATTTTAACTTCGGTTGTTCGACGCGGCGCGTCCGCCGGGGTGACTGGGGTGGCACCTCTGTAATCTCTTCCGCTGTGACTGTTCTTAGAGCCAAAGTAGAAGTCACGTGCAGTTCTTCGAGTGGTCGCTGCGGGAGAAATGGTGGCGTTGTGTCCGTCATTAGCTCGGTGCTCGGAGACAGATTGGGGCCACTTTTTCAAAGCTGTCTCTATGGGAGTTTCCCAACTGAGTGTTTTAGTAACGTTGCCTATCGCGCTCAAGGAGGTTAGAAGTACTAGGAGGGGGCACGTTGCATTATTGGTGAAGCCTAGTCATAAAAAGTTTAGACGATTTTGTGCCCAGCGTGACCGCAGATCTGTCTGGCGATTGGTGCGTGTGACATGTCACGTGCGAGATGGATGGTTGATTGTAGGAGGATCCTTGCAGGCTTGCGCGCGCTCCGTCCGGTAGTTTTTATCAGATCGAAGGCTAGGTTTTGGTGTATTCTAGTACACCATA